CGAGAAGACAGCTCGGTGACTGCAGCCTGGATGTCGGCTGCAAAGCTCAAATCCTCACCAATACTCGTTCCAAAGGCTCGAAGTGTTTCAGCAGGTATGCTAATGCGAGTCATCTGTTGAAACGTCACCTGCCCTCCAAGCTGCTGCTGCTCTGCCGCTGCTTGCAAGGTGACTGGTGCAGATGCTGTTGTTGTTGATACAGTGTCATGCGTAGTTTCGAGGGGGTTTGGGCTCATAACCTGTTGATGATGTCTTGGGGAAGGAGTGCTATTAGCCGTTACAATAGAGTAATGAGTAGGTGCAGGGCTACCAGGAGTTCTACGATGAAACTGTGAGGGTAAATCATCTAGAGAATCGTACATAGTATCGAAAAGAATGCATAAGATAGCACTGCACTACACGGTCAAGCAAACCAACCCTGAACTCTGAGTCCACGCACCGTTTTGTGCGTGTCATCCTTGCTTGATCTTGAGCCATGCGTTCGATGGCCCACTTCTCGATTTGTGCGTGTCAGCACCTGTGTTTAAGCGACCTTGGCACACTTCTCTGATTTGTGCACCTTGGTACACTTCTCTGATTTGTGCACCTGGGACGAACACTTTTAAGTTTGTTTGTGTGGGTGTGTGGTTTTGCCTGCTTGTGTAAGCCATCCGTGCTCACGCGCGAGGAACCCTTCTCCTTTGAGTTTTGCAGCCATCCCTTGGCTGCCCAACTAAACGGGCTCCAGCACAGCTGATGCTGGGTCTGATCGGCATGCCTGCACATTCGCAGTGTCAACTTCCAAGCATTGCTTCACCGAGCAACCTAACTGCATCGACCTGGTGTTAACCACGTGTTCGGTCCAACAGAACACGTGGTCAACACACGCGCGCGCACATTGACCTGCGTACCACGCAGCGAAACAACGAGAACATCCACAACTACGGCCTATGCAAACAAGAGAGCTTCCCACGGCCCGTAGTTTGGAAGCTGTCTTTGGTTAAAGCATTGTGGCTGCTTGCAAGCAGGGGCGACTTCCCTACTCATGATGCCCTTTGTCTCTGGGGATGCACGATTGCCTCGGACACAACATCCGCCACGATCGCCTTGGGTCATCCACACGGTCGGGCCAGCATTCTTGGCTTTGGCTGTTAGAGGTTCGTGTAGCCTGGAAGGAGAGGGTTTCACCTCCGAATTGAATGCTGGTGATACTCAGATGAACCGAGTTGTTCCTGAAAACTTTATCCAAGTGTCGAATCTTGGGGAAAGGATGAGAAAGGCGAGACAGCCGCACATTTCTTGAGGCCGAAAGCCTCAGCGAATGCTTCGTCAAGCCGTGTGTTCGTTTTCTCATGTCCATCTGCTGGAGAGCAGCCGCTCCTGCTATGCCGCGATGCCTTCGTTAAGACGGCCGACCCTACCGTAGCTGTACAAGTAGCTTCGTAGTGGATGGATTTTCTGTCTCCCAGGTCCTCGGTGCCCTGGCGTGGAAGATGCGAGGACGGCGGTTGGGCACAGAAACATCCCTTAACTGCCCCTCCTGTCGGTGTGTTTTCGCAAGGCCAAGCTTGTATTGCTGGCCACAGAGTTTGGTGACAAGCTATCATGCCTGCAACAGATGTCAGACTTGGCTAGGTCTTCAGCACAGACCTAACTTTCAGCGTCCTGTTTCCCGACGGCCCAAGCTGTTGCGGTGCAGGAGAGCTTGAGGCAGAAGCTGACCGCAGAGGCTTCCCAAAGGCTCATGGGGTTCAGGGCTTTTGATGTCTGAAACTTTGAGGGAAGAGACAGCATTAAGCGCCTCAGAGATCCGTATATGTATTCGTGCCTGCGCTTTGGGTTGCCGTGGCTCCCTGCCAAAGTTCCATAGGCAGTGTCTCCAGCCCAGGCATGTGTACTGTAGCAGTGTAGCAGGAGTAGATTTGAAACCTCGGTCAACGACACACTCACACATGGAGGATTGTAATGGGAGAAGACAATCGGGAATGCACACCGCACGAATCCGTGCGTAATATGCACGGGCAAGCATCATGACAAAGTGGCCAGAGCCATCAGCAGCCTCGAACTGTTGCAAGGCCACGCGCCACAACATGAACATTGCGCTTGATATTATCCTTTCCCGTGCAAATTCGTGAAGCTAAGAACACAAGATATCTCCAAAAACCTGAACTACAGAGAGCTGGGCTGTTCGTCTTGACAGATGCCTTAGATCTGTTTAGCACAGCCACTTCAAGCTCGTGACCTCGGCAGAAGGCAGACTTTGTCGTGGAGGTGGCCCGCGCCGCAAAGTCTGTCGGCGAGCTCGTTGACTTGCAAGGTGAATGCGGACGTTCGCTGCTGAAGCGTGCCTGCCGTCAAATGCGGCTCCGGGAGTCGGAGCTCGTGGCAGAGGTGCAAGGAAGCGCGGCAAGGCTGGACCTCGCGCTCTTCAC